AAATCCTTTTTTCGCTCGGTAGGTATATTAAAAAACTTCCTAAAAAGGAAAAGACAAAATAATTTAATAGCTAAAATAGGTTTATTAGACGTATGAAAATATAGCTAACAGAGCTGTCTAGAAAATATGAAAGCAGATATCTATATAGAGATTGTTCTATATTCATCCTGTACCGACTGTAAAGGCAGAAGGTCTTGTTTCTTTTCTTACTTTGTTGTCATCATTAGACTCATTTCAGCGTTATCTATTTATTGAGTCCAAATGAAATACTAGAAGAGCAAAATATAGTCATTTGCAACCTCCGTAATTAAATTTAATTATAAATTTAAAGAGATGAAATTAATCAAAATTCCACAATTTCTGACACGCCAATCTTACCTATAATAAAATGAGGAGCAATGCGTTCGTTCCTAACATTGAGGTGTTATCGAAAGAGTTTTCTGATAGAGTACATAAAAAAATCCTTACATAATATAAAGGCTGTCGAGATGGGACGGGCACTGGCGGGCGGCGGCCTCTCGGACCGTGAATCATCATAAGGGTTCCGATAAATTTGGAAGGGAATAACGAAAACAATGTTCTCTTGGGAAGTCAGCCCGGCCGCTTCACGGCTGCTCCACAAAACTATGGTGGACTTTGAATATATTTCATATGCGGTAACTAGTTACATACATAGTTATCGAGAAAAAAAAATCACATTATATTAGCTGTATTCGCAATGTTATTCACAATTACTAAGTCAAATATTATAACGATTGGTCTAATCAATTAGACACCATTAGGTATTATTATACAGACTCACTTTCATATTTATAGAATATTTATATAATAGTAACGATACAGTAACATATTATTTCAAAAGTTAATTGTTCATTGCTAAACATAGATCTCCCATGTGGACTGCTATTAGGAACTATGCTAAACCACTTGCATCTACTGCCTGCATAATACAATACACGACAGTAACGTATTCGTAGTTACTATTTATTAATAGATTTAGCAACATTTATAATTGACACCCACTAAATGTCTAGGCACTATGTAAAAATGTATCTACATTTTAGTCAGTTTCATATCTATACAGTATACCCGTACGAAGTACTTATACATAAGTTAATATATAAGACAATTATAAACATAATTGTCTTATATATTAATTTATGTATAAGTTCATAAATATTTTATTTTCAAATATTTATTCTCGGAAGCATCACTAAGGAATTTCTATCAGATATCAAAAAGCATATAAAACTTTAAAGTCATTAAGAAAGACAATACAGTTACCCGTATATTGACTGGACACAAAGGAAAGATTTAAATTTAATAAATCTCCGATTTATACTTACGACAAACTTCGCAAAATATTAGATATACATGCACCTTCTCACATAATGCTCCATTGCTTATAAAAAAAAAAAAATAAAAGCTAGGTGTTCAATCGCAACAGAATTAATATGAGTTCAATACGCAAGTAAATTATCATTGGCAAAATATTATCAAAATCGGCTTATAAATAAGATGTCGCGTAACCTACACACAAAATATTCAAGGGAATTGAAAAAATGTAAATTCACGAAACTGACTGCCAACCTCCAGTAATGTGAGAAGAAAAACAGAAATAAATGATGTTTGTTGCAAGTGTGGGTGTAGGTGCCAGTTTCATTCATTTCATCCTCACGGCGCTTTATACCGCCTTTATTTCACCCACTGCAATATTACTACTTAAACATGTAACGATACGACTTGACGTTATGGCAGCATTTGAATGTTATTAATTTTTTCGTAGCTCTTTTTCTGTATTATATAACTTTAAAATTATTTTATTTTACTGTTTATAGCGACTTGATTTTTATTCGACTCTTACCTTTGAGAGGTTCTTGTTCTGAGCGGTTAGGCAAGAAAAATTTCGTCTGTTTTTTGTCTATGTTATGCCATATGCAATTATTAATGATATATATAGATTAATTATAATCCGATTTATATGATTTTTTTTCTTATCCCTATGGTTTGCTGCCCGTTTAGTTTTTATGTTAACTTTTTCGATATTAATAAACATTAAAATATTTTTCAAAAAAAGAAATGCTTGGACAATAAATGACACTGAATTTTATAATTAAAAACATAAACCATAAATTTTACATTCCTAGGTTCAATATCGTTTTCTAATTCATCTACAAAACTTTAATGCTTAGTAAACGTCTAATTTTAGCGTCGTGATCCATTATTAAACCACTTGAGTCGACTTATAGAATCCAATTGTTATAATTTTACATTTAGCTTGTAAAACAAACTCGTGTCAAAAAAATTCCAATTAACAATCGTCATATCTCATTTCCATATTGTAATTCAGCAAGTTTCGCTTGGCTAGCTGTGTCTTTTTATGGTCTCATCGTCTCTCACTTTGTTTTAAATAAAGCTTCCTGTTCATTTAAAATATACTACAATGTTGGCAACACATCAATTTTGCATTTTGTTCGTTCGACTTTTAAATAATTCTAAATGTAAAATAATGTTCATAAAAATAACTGTTGTTATTTATAACGGATCTATAATAACGCAAATAAAAACGATTTATTCAAATTCACTCAACCCTTTGTGTAGTTTTAAATGAATTGATTTCATTTTAAAAACAACAAAGGATAACACAAAGCATTGACATCTTTTGTATTTTTGAATGGAAATACTAAAAATCTAATATAAGCACAGAATACTTAATAGTACCTAATGTAAGCTGACTGGGATTATATAAAATCATGTCGAAAGCACAATATCACTACTTTGTAAGGTTATAAACACATATCACCGTCGACTTCCCTAAAATATTCTTACCTAACAAAATATCCGAAGCAACATAACTTCCACTAAGAATACTTAGGTACCTACAGTCTACAGTAACGTTATCTTTTACGCAAGCAAACGAGGAGGGTAGAGAGAAAAATAAATTGGGAAAACATTTTTACATAAGTGAGGGGTTGAAATAGTTATTAGGGCCGGGTCTTCATGCTTCATTACTTGGTGCGTTAAGCAAAATACCGGTTGCTACTATTTCAAGAACAAGAAAAACTATTAGGATTTATTATCACCTATTCTTATAATATAAGTCTATTACCTATTCTTTTATTATAATATTTATACACTAAGTACATTTTTGTACTACCGTTATCTCTATTTATACTATTTGTTTACAATTTTCTTCTTCATTTTATTATTTGACCCTACCTTTTATTTGATGTCGTTCATTCTGTTTAGATGTTTAGGTTGGATGTAATCAGATTAAAATATGTACGGTTTTTTTTGTATATTCTTGTTAATAACCGGATAAAAATTAAACACTAGCGAATGTTCAAATATATAAATACGGTTACAATTATTACGTCATATGAACGTGACATACCTGACCTCTTTCTTTTTAAAATATAATTTGTAATTTATGGGAAACTCGACGTCAAAACAAAGGGGCGTTTAAGTGTGTTTATAATTTGATTATAAACCAACTTTAAAAATTATGATAATACTGAATGTAGTAATATTTTTGTGTGTATACGATGCCTTCGTCAATTGTGAAACAATTTGAAATAATGATTGATCTTTTTAATAGAAATACATATTTTGTTCCGATTATGATAAAAAGCTTCAAAGACAATTTTTCTTTTATTAAAAACATTTTAATAAAAGTGGAATATTAAAATATAAAACGATCATTGACTATTTAAATAGCTTTTTCAAATGACTTTAGCCCGTGGCATTGGTAGATATTTATTTATCTGTGAATTTCAAGCCTCAATCTTATTTCACTCTGAGGAGATAGAAGCCTGTGAAAGACAGATGATGTTGGCATAACAAAAGAGTTCTACGGAAACCACAAAACGGTTAAATGTACTCGTTTACCGATTATACAATGGTATATACGTTTAAATGGGATCACAATCTTTAATCTGATAAAAATGCTGTAAACACATATACTACACATATCATATATTAGGAGAATATACAAAAATTTATTGTATGGGTCACCTCTGTTCTAATTATATTTCTGCCATGCAGCAGCTGTGCTCACATGGCTGTCTTTCGGTTTGTAAAATAGAATATGGTAGTAAAATTATAGGGTACGGAGATATAACACCATAGTCCGGGAGGAAAGGGATTATTAGTAATGCGGATTACCAGTCCCATTGCTTATAATATACCCTAACAGGTCGACCTCTCCGTGGTCCCCACTCGAAACCGTGGAATTCATACTTAATTCCAAGAGTATTCGTTACGATGGACTAATTTTGCCTTTTCATTCTCAAGTATCATCCCTCACTGGTGCTCTGGCAGCGTATACCGTTGGCGCAGGCGGGGTTACCATTTCATTATTATCGATTAAAAAAAAACACCATAGTCCTCAGAAATAGAAACGCATGAGGGGTACCATGGGCGGTATTGTGTATTGTATAAAAAAGTCATGCCATTTGATATATTGGTTCCTTCACTGGTCGAGGGATTAGTTAATAATCACAATCGCGAGAGGCATTAGTAGATATTAATAAACTAGCCTAAGTGACGCTATTCGGATCACTGTCTAAACACATGCACGTATAAGACAAAATTGTACATAAACATTTTATAAAGCTTATGAGTATATATTCGTATGTTATATTGAACTAAAAACAATGTTTTATATTTTTCTGTGACAAAATTTTCAAAGTATATTAGTTGAATATGAGTAAACTTAGTATATTTAGTTAATATACTTTGAGAATGCCGTGTGGTCCCGGCATAGAATAGACTACCCTTTCCTGGGTGTCTTAAAAGGCGGATAAATAAACAAAACGGTCGAAGGATGGATAGCAGCGTCCCTTTTAAAACATCACCAAACCTAACTGCAGTTGTAAACCTGCCTGCCAAGGGTGGCAAACACTGGCAAAATCCCCTTATGGGGGAGGCCTATGTTTAGCAGTAAACAGTTAAGGACTGATATATAATTATAATAAACTACTTAAATTATGTGGACTTACCTCTTTAGTCAGTTTCGCAACGTGAGACCTGATTTCAGCCATTGTATTCCTCATCTGCTGACCTTCATACTTCAGCCGGCTAACTTCGCTATCTAGTTTATCCAGCCTCGTTTCTTGAGTGCGCGCCAGTTGGGCTAGGTCAGAAGTCTCCATTAAAGCTTGTTTTAGCTGAAAACAACGATATTGTTACTATCAGATCATGGAGATGAAAGTTAGAAAACGTTAATAATTCGAGCACCTAAATACTATTTTATGAATTATTTTTATTGTGAAACTATAATATTTACTTGGTTTATATAATATTATTTCTAATTACATATTTGTAGTATCTATATGTATTAATTTTTTTGTTGTGTAGCTGGTAAGAGTTTACTTTGTGTATACACTTACCAGCTAGCTACCGTAAGAGAAAATGCTACCTTTATGTCTGATTTATGAAAAACGACGTGCCAAAAAAACACATCTAATATATATTTTTTTTATTTACATATATGCACATTATGTTCCATCGTCAATTATGTTTTCTGTCATTGCTATACAGCAACAACAGCAAGCTATGTATAAACCGTGTAAACGGTTGAATGGTAGATAACGCCATACGGTATTAAATCTGACTTTTACACTGTCTAGGTGTACTGAAGTTCAATAAATAAATACATTAATAGAGCGAACTGCACGCAATACAATTATAACTAAGCGATCGAAGCGTGCAAGAAGGTCCTTATTTCGGTACGTATTCTGGAAGTAAATCCAGTGTAAATCTGATAAGTCCTATAGAACTTTAGTTTGTTGTATCTGTATTGAAGTTAGTAAACGTTTTGAACAATCTAGTTTGCTAGTTTCACAACCCTCTGAGGTTGTTATTTAAATGTATATATTTGTATGTACTGTATGTTGCCTCGTGTCCACCTATCTACATTACTATCTCGACTAATCTTAATAGTATATATAAATACAGTTACAGTATAATACGTCTAAGTTAGATTATTTCTTGTTAAATTGAACCATAGTCGTAACTTAGGGGGGGGGGGGCTGCAAGGCAATAACCCACCTTAAAAGGTCTAATGCCACTATACCTTAAAATGAAAAGCCCCAAAAAAATTAGACTAATTCGCTTTTTCGATGTCACTTAATTATGGTTTCTGCCCTAGCAAAAAGTTCTTTTGCTCTACCTCAAAGTTGGGTCTAGCTACAGTCTTGAATTGGATTAAAATTTTTAAACCTAAATTTGACACAAAATATTATATTGGTCTCGACAAAATTTTTATGATGAAGATCTCTCGCTATTATTTTCCATCTGAAAAATTGTAACGTTTCAGTCAGATAGGGAAAAAGTAACAATACCTCGGGTTTATCGATACAATAATGTATAGTTTAAAATAGAAATAAAGTGCTGCCTTTCTTTATCTAGTAGGTAAGAAGTCACCTTCTAGTACAATATTTTTTATACATCATTTATATTATATTACGATCTACACAACGCAGTGGTAGGTACATTCTTTTATATATGAGGTTCCAGATTCAATTTCCGGCAGGGATAATTTAGAAAACAGATTTTTCTTAATCGATTATAAAATGTTCCTTGTAGTTTCTAGTACGAGTAATGTGAAGTATCTTAGAATAAAGTTTATATAAATATAATAATTGTTTGGCAGGTATATAAAAATTATGTAAAATAAAATATGTACACTAACATTTGGATAATCTAAATCGGTCAATCAGATGCATATAAACTGCTATATTGGTGGTATGATGAATGTGATGATTACGTTCTAATGAAACGTTAATTATATATAGGTATATATATATATATATATATATATATATATATATATATATATATATATATATATATATACCAGACGAGTAAGGTATAACTTCGGATTAACCTCCTTCAATAAGGAGAAACTAGAGAGCTATATTCAAAGTAGTGCATTAATGTGACATGGTAGCGTCATCGGCGAGTTTAAATTCAATTCGTACATGTTTAATGTGAATGAGTTAAGCCTATAACAACTGGGCAACAGTTTCAACGTAGGTTACTAAGGACAGGTACACACACAAAATTCCTTACCATGACATTTGCATTTTCGCATATTCAATCACATAAAGTAAGGCTCAAATAGAATTTCCATAATTTATGATGACCTCAACTTATCAAAGGTTGAGGCTGAAGTTAAGTTAATAAGTGTACAGCAGTTATGCTAATTCCGCGTAACGATCCCCTATAATCTGATTCTAGTCCGTTTAATTTTAGACTGATGTAGGTATATATAGAAAAGATCAATGGTACACAGTTTGTTTATTTAGGAACGAAGCCCAGAATTGAACTTAAGATTAACAATCAGTCGTGTAAACTTAGCGATGGAACCGTGTAAGTATATTCACGACTAATGGACTTTCTTGTAAACCATCTCATTTAGACGTTATTTTAATTTCAATAGTATATAGATATAAATTATTATTGTCTTTACTATTAATATAAATGTAAAAAGGAGAATAAAAAAACCGGCCAAGTGCGAATCGGATCCGCGTGCTGAGGATTCTGTACAAATTATAATGAAAAAAAATTTTCTTATGATTTAATTACTGATTTACAGCTTTTGGATTTTTCCTTTTAATTCTACTGTGTAACATTGCTTATTGCAAAATTTTATAATTCTTGGTTAACGGAAAGTACCCTATAGGTTTAAATTACCTTGTAAATATTGAAACATATATATTTATTGATTGCGTTAACTTTGAGAAATTTGATTTTTCGCAGCTTCAAAGGATTGCGGACTTGAGTATTTCATATTAATTTCAGTTTGATATCTACACGCGTTCCTGAGAAAGAGGGTCTTAACAAACAGACGAACAACTTAATGACCCCATCAAGGTTCAGTTTTTCTAAAAGTTGCCTATAACTATTTGCAAACGTATTAACTAAATTTAAGACAATTGATCGCTTAGATGCCCAAAGATAAATAACAGATAAATGAATAAAGTTACATATAATTCTCTATTCTATAGAATATTTTACGAAATAATAAGAGAATCAAAGAATACAAACATATTATGTATTCACATCGAAGTATTCAAACATAATAATAATATAAATATTTATATTTATCGCACAATTTTTTTGGTCTATATTCAGATATATATGTACGTATAGATAAAAAGAAGTACCTACTTAACTAACTTCAACACTCAAACCTTTTTCGTTTCAATACTTTGCATGCAAAAATTCGTCTGGAACCGATTGCTCGATTTCGTTTTATTGAATTGAAACTGACAAAAAAGCAATACACATGCATTTAGATCAGAATACATTGGAATATTTATCTATGTATTTAATAGGTATACATATTCGTCATGTGGTCTCGGCATAGAATGTACCACCACTTGCTATCCCGTAGTTGTGGTAAAAAGTGACTAAGGGAACTTAATGAATTGGCAACAGCGTCTCTCTTAAAACATCCACAAAGCCTAACTGTGGTTGCCAACCCGCCTGCCAAATTTGGCAACTACTGGCAAACCCCTCCTTATGAGGGAGGCCTATGTTCAGTAGTGGACAGTTGACGGCTGATGGATGATGATGATGGTGATAATATGTTATACATTTGTTGCATTTAGAACAGTATCAATAAAGACGAACTAAAATAAGTTGAAACACAACCAATTAAATCCATATTTTTTGCTAAACCGAAGTGTTAACTTTGCTTACAAGTGAATCCTACACAAATGAATTGAATTTGGATATTAACCTTTAAAAGCCTGATTTTTTTAAATCAAATTAAAAAATATATAAGTGTACCCTTTACTGTGTTACTAATAGGGAAAAATAGTAAAAAAAAAATTAAAAACGATATTTTTCTATATTTATTTAAAAAAAAAATATTTGGTAACATGTAAACAGCCAAATATTAAAATAAAATTGATTGTAAGCGTTTAATGCGATTTATAACCCCGGTATCAAATTTGAAACTTCGATATTTAAAGGTTAACAAGATGTAATTTTATTTACTAAACGGTAAAGTATAGTATTGCTCACCTCGTTGCGTATGGTGTGTAACTGTCGTAAAAGCACAGAATTGTTGATGCTCTTGCTGAGTTCTCGCATTTCGGCGCGTAACTCATTCATAGACGTTTGGGCCCACTGCAGTGTCATTTGCTCGTTTCGATCACGGTTACCAGAAGAGTGCATTGCCGAATTTTGCCTGCAAAAGAAGTCTATTTTCAACACCTGTCTTTACAAATTTCCCGTTACTTAATTACAACGTGAGAATTCTTCTCTCCTCTTTCACTTTTCTCGTGAGAATTTATTATGGCAGCGGCTAATAATGGTCTTTTTCCATTACAGGAATAAGGTTACATTAGGACAGTAATAGCAAATTAAAAAAGTAACCTGTTTTTGGACCACAGTAGTACAATATTTCTGGAAACATACTACTGAGGTGGTATTTAAATATTATATAAAATTATTTCCAATCATCAATTGCTGGATTATATATTATAACTATTAACACACTATATGAATTATCATTTATAAAGAAATTTATTGTCATATTTAGTATAATCAATGAAATCAAGATTTGTTGTATACCTAATCATTTTTACTAACTGAATGATATTGTGTTGACAAAAATTATATTAATGGTCGATAGGTAAATTTTTTTAAGCTACTAGGGATATTTTAATTGTTTCTTATGCATCTTAGAACAGTTAACGACCCACCACGACCACCTGATAAAAAGTTGTAACTATTGCCTATATAGGAGAAAAGGGATTGTTAGTAATAGGGACTGGTAGCCCTATTGCTAGCAACACGCCCCGTCAGGTCGACCTCCTCGCGGTTCCCACTGGAAATCATCATTCAATTCTAAGTGAAATCATCACGATGAGCTAAGTGACCTGACCTTTTCATCCTCAATTCTATCCGAATTAGGTTTAGAACTTATTCCTGGAAGGGTAAGAATTTGTATTCGGCTTTAAGCGTTACATGTACATATAATGCTGATAATATCTATTTATATAGGGGTAGTTGAACAGCCTTTGAGGCGTAAAAACCAACTCATAAAGTATAATAGATGCAGGATGCATCGTTATGCAACGGCGCGCGATCACCACCGTGTCTCCTGCATTCGCGACCCTTCCGGTTTTATTTAGTAATGCCATTATATAATTACTGCATACGAACATTTGATTATTATGTATAATTATTCTATATACGTATCTACTATGTAAAAGCGTACTCAGATGTAATAAAATAGCAAGAAGTACAGAACGGAACGAAGCCGCATAGCATGAAATTTGACACAAATTCGTTTAGTGAATCTGCAGGTAAGGAGGACAACTAAGGGGGATAATAATCATTAAGAAGAGGCATTACGTAACTTTAATCATGAATCAATGATTCATTTTCTAATTTATGAAAGCAAAAATGACGAGGCACTTAGTAATTCATAGATGTCAATGTAAACTTACAACTCGAATATAATTAAGTAATCGATTCACAAGTAAAGTCTGTTTAAAGCATTTTCTTTGTATTTCGACTCAAATTTAGTACATTAAGTTCATAGATAAAATAAGACAAGATATAGATAGGTTGGTGGCGCTAAAATATAGTTAGAAGCACCGTAATGTCTAGAAACTGTAACTACCTTAGTCTTCAATATTACATTATCTGTAATACACCGTATGCGATAGAAGATAAGTAAATAGGCGGCGTCTTGCGGCGGTATCAGTGATGAGTTTTTTGTTAGTGTCTCTGTTTATAACTCTTTTTGTTTGATATCGCAAGTCATGACTTACAAAAGTGGGCAAAGTTGCGATCAGAGTTTGAAACAAAACCATAATGAGCGTTATTTGTCTTCAAGTAACATCAAGATGGGGAGGAAATTGTCAGTAATGGGGATTGGTGACACCATTATTAATATTATACCCGGTAAGGTCAACTTTCACGCAGTTCCCCTGGAAACCATCGTAGTTAATTTCTAACGAATTCGCAACGATGGGACAACTGACCTGATTCCATTTTCCCCCATTATCACTCACTGGTACCCAGCCGACGTAATCCAATAGCGCTGACTGGGTTACCGTTTCATTTTCATTAATTTGAAAAACAAGTAGTAGGAGGATCTGCACTACACTAAAATGTATGTTTATATGTCATACAGTATCTTAATAATGTGGAATTTTTATCAAAATAGTTTACCGTGTGTCTGTATAATATTTTTTAACAGTCAAATTTATTTTTCTAGAACAAAATTATAAACTATAGAGAAAAAACCACATTATTGTAGACGAGTTAGATATAGAAATTATAGATAATGTTTGCGGTAGCTCAATAAATTATTATAATTAAATCATTCACCATAATCAAGTTATATATATATATATATATATATATATATATATATATATATATATATATATATATATACATACAATACATATACAATATGCGAGATAAGTATGTGGTCGGACGTAAATAATCTTTAAGTATGGATGAAACTTCCTCGAAACGAAAACAAAGCTGAGTCTGCACCAAAGATTAAAGGCATCATTCTTAGTATTAAACGTTAAATAAATAACATCGATGTATAACCGGTGAGTTTAAAATAGAGCATCAAGAATTTCAATTAATATCGATTTATTTGTGCTTATATTAGATGTTATATTGGTTAGTCCCAATATTTAAATAAATATTTACTACATTTTTCTAATCACTTCGTATTTTATCGCTTCCACTGACTAAAGATATCGGGAATGATATTTTATCAGCCCATTAGTACCGTGCCCTGATCAATATTTATTTTGATACCAATATTAACAACTGATAGGTATTTTAAAAATATGACTTTTTCATTTTGTAATATCTTGTTTGTCTTATGGGACTAACTTAACGTTTTTAAGTAAAAAAATTAAAGAACCTCTAATTAATATTCAAAGGAAAATCGATTTTAACTTAATACAATTTTAGTATAATCTAAAGGTATCCCCAAACTAATTATTCTAATAATTAATGTAGAATACCATTAAATTAAAACTAATAAATTTATAGAAATAAATTCATAATCGACATGACAAAGATATTCTATAAAAAATGCACAACAAACTTACTTTTTTTTTTAAATCGGTAAACAATAAGTTTAGTTATTCATGTTTATTGGTGACCGTCACCACTTTCTATCAGGTGAGCCGTCGACTCCTTTTCAAGTTGCAACGAAAAAATAAAAACTATTATCACTTTAGGTATGCTATAATATATTTGTTTTAGACATATTTAACTCTGTATGTTTTATAACTTATATAGGTATATCTATTAAGGGATAGGCAATAATATTTTAAAATTTGTTATGTTGCTTTGCGTCTGACTGCCTGCATGTTATCTCGATGACATTTTAAATGTGAATCGTTCTCTCAGATTACTCGTAATTAGGTTCCACTGCCGGAAGATATAAAAACCATCTGTAAAAATTTTCACAGCTTTTTTTTATATAAGAATTTTAAGTCAGAGAAAATAAAAGTCATAGTTGAATTCTATGCTTTCATTAGTTATACTTAACAAGTTAAAGGGTGTAAGGTATTCATATTTTTTATCGTCATAAAACATATTCTTTCTTGTGTTAATTTAGCTTATAGTCTAAATACATAAGAATATGAAATTTCATTACAATTCATCCAGCTATTTTAAATTGAGTAAACAAGCATCCAAAATATTAGTGAACTTAAAAGAGTCAAATCGGGGTAATTTAATAAATATATCTATATAAGTTATAAACCATACAGAGTTACATATGTCTGAAACAAATATATCAATTACTAAGCTAGTGGCATTCCTCACATTTTACTGTATTGAAAATGCATACCTTAGCGTACAGTTTCAATGTCAGCAAAGCGTTCTACAATATCTTGTATTGTCTGTTCCAAGATATATTCATTATTATTTAACTTTCAATGGCACCTGAGATTACTATCTATCTCAATATATCTTATATATCTAAGATTTAATATCTAAGATATACACATCCTTATTTGATAGTGTAATATGATGTTAAAATTAGAGAAATGGGAAGGATGTGGTTAGCATACCAAAATATTTGTATACAAACCGAGCATGCTAAATTATCCGCGAGTTGGTTGCTGTATGGAAACGGATGGTATGCCAGATTTCTGAGAGGGAATTCTATGTTACGTCATACAAAATATACAGGAAAGGAATAAATTATTTTCGTGGTCCAGCTCCGCTACCTTAACTTTGCGAAAATGGTGTTCTATTTTCGATTTTTGGTTTAAACAATTTAAAATACGAACATAGATCAATTAGGTGGTCATTTATTACTACGAGATCTCCATTCTTGTATCGTTTCTCAAAATATAAAGATGTTAGCATGTTGGCCAGGTAGTTATCAGTTATGTATTTGAACTCATAATCTTGATGTAAATTAAAAAAAATCAGCTCTTTCTAAATTCTCAAATTATAATATTATTCCTAAAACTTTTGCTGGTTGGTGTGTATGCAAAAATATGTTATTATAATTGCACATGTAAAATATGCAATTATTCTCTTCGTTATATCAAAAATATAATGACTAAAACTTCCTCTATAATATTTTTTTACGGAGTATTATCAAAATATTTTAAAAATATGCAATTAATAGTACAAAAACTACAGAAATAAGAAATATATTAAAATTTGCTCATTCGCGTTTTCTAATAAAATAGCCTTCGTTTATTGCTTCTTTTTTTCCTTGATTATTTAATAGACATTTTTATTGTATTTTTTATATTTTCTGAAGAAACGACGCCCTTAAACCCTACTTCGGCCCATCTTTATTTCTTTTTGTACCACAAGCTACTCAGATTACTCTCGGGCTTCTTAAACTTTTTAATAGGAAAGTAAATGATATCCCTGTGCTTCAAATCATTAACATGTTGTTTATTGGATAAATTACTAAGCGTAGTCTGTAATAAACATTGTGACGTAATCATCAGTACAGATAAATGTAGGGTGTAGGATTGCCAGATGATCAGGAAATGTAGGTAAATTTCGAAACTGGGTGTAATTACGCAATTACTGTTTTGTGTACATTGCAGCACGTTTGATTTTTATGCCCTAGAATCTGTAAAGAATCAAAACTGTAAAAGACCTCGCTTTTTGTCATTTTTGACATGTCGTTTTGAAATGATAACGCATGTCACATGACATTGATAT